TCAAAAATTATAATTTAATATATGATCAATAAATGAAATTAATATCAGTTGAACCTTATTAAATTTAAAAAAACTTTTCCTTACTATATGGAAATTAATGTCAAGTTTCAAATGAGAACTCCTTGCAGATCATATAGGCACCAATGTAATTTTAATAAGAACTGGCAGAACTCAACTGCAAAAAAAAAAAAAAAAAAAAAAAAAAATAACCCATGGATAAACTAGGCAATGGTTTCTGCCGACATTTCACTGAAGAAGATGAGCAGATGACACTGAAGCATATAAACAGGCTCTCAACAGGATCATTCATTAGAGAAATTCAAATCAAGCCTACAATGAGACAACACTCTACACTTTTAAAATGGCTGAAATTAAGAAGAAATACAGATAATACCAATGCTGGTGAGCATGCCAGTTTCCTAGAGTCTACAACATTGCTAATGGGAATGCAAAATGAAACAGCGACTCAGGACAATAATTTTCAGTTTTTTTTTAAATCAAAATGCCCTTAACACATGACCTATATATCCCACTCCTAAATATTTGCTTCACAGAAATACAATCTTCTATTCACACAAAACTTGTATTCAAATATTTAAGATGTTATGCGCGCATGCGCGCGTGTGTCTGTGTGTGTGTGTGTGTGTGTGTGTGTGTGTGTGTGTGCAATAAAAGATAGCAAATGACTAACCATTACAGGTGGACTCCAGCCATGAGGCTAAGTGAGAGAAGCCAGTCCCAAAGATCAAATGGACACAGCTGTAGGTGCCATGGTCACCCTCAGGTATTAGTGGTTTGGGCTGGGCTTTCTCTGTCACTTTCCTAACCAGGCCCAGATGTTGAGCTGAACCACTTGCAGACTGGGGTTCCATTCCTTCACAGACTGAACCAAACAAACGTGGGACACTTTGAACAATGTCTGGCATTTGTTCCAACTGCAAGAGAACCTCCCCCAGCCCTCCCCATTCTCGGTTCAGCCTCCGTCTCCCAGGCATCCACCCGTCTCCTGTCAAGGACCTTTCATGACACCCTCCACTGCTTTTGAGAACACTGGCAGGTTTTGAACTTCTCCACATTCTGTTGTTACTGAAGTTAGGATGTTTGGAGCCAAATTAAGGGTCATATTTTATGAGCAAATGCCAGCACCCACTCTCTCCTGGGACAGAGCTCCTAACCAAGGATCTGCAGGTGGAGACAATGATGGACTTTTTGCTTCCTCAGTGTAGAAGCTCAGTGCTGAGTGGAGGTTTAGACAGAAGCTTCCCACCTTCTCAGCACGCCAGTTCTGGTGGGGTGAAGCCTCTGCCATGGGAGCAGAGCTAGATACCAGGGACCCAATGTCCTGGCACTGGGCCCAGGGCAGAGCCTCCATCCATGATCAGGTCCATGGAAGAAGTGACTCTGTTTCTCATTAGTTCTTGTCCAGAACTGAGCCCCAGCATCATGTGCTCTTGGCAGGGTCAGAGGGCCAATGTCCTGGTCCCTGGGGCAGAGTTTCCTCGATGGGAGCTGGGTAGCAGGTGACCTGTCTTCTCAGCTGCATGTGTCTGCAGTGGAGTTTACATCATGCTGAGCTGCGATGTGGAAGGGAGGAAGAGCATCTTAGATCTAATGCGATGACTGGCCTTACTGAGTTTTGTCAATTTTCTTGAATAAATGCTTTCACTTGCTGTATGCTGTTAGGGCCTTTCCAAACCCTGTACTTTTTCAAAATTATTTTCACTGGTCTCATGAGGGCATGGATTCATTGAGACCCTCAGGCTTTCAAAGACAAATGGAACTGCTTATTTTTTCACTTTTTAGAGAACATCCATAAATTATAAAACAATGAGTTGACTTTCCTTCCAACACTTTACAGATACCATAAACTTTCCTCTAGCTGTAAGGTTTTAACCAGAAGAATGCCGTCATCATCTTTTCTGTTCTTTTGGAAGGAATGCCCCCTCTGTTCACGTCCACTTGCCTGCGTGTATTTCTATTTGTCTTTGATTTTCAGCAGTTTTACTAAGATTTACCTAAATGTGTTTGTGGTGGGGTACAGGGGGTGTGATCCTGCTGTTCTTTGTTCCTGAGACGCATGGATTCATGGTTTACTCTCTCTTTGTGGGGGGTAAAATTATTAGAAAAAATGTCAGTGTGAGCTCATCAACAAGCCTCCCTGACGTGGGCACAGGACCGCCGCGGGGTGCTCAGGAAACACTTTGCAAAAGCCAGCCTCAGGGCAAGGGCAGATGGGGTTAAGGTCTGGTTTCCTGTCACTCTGGCTTCCTCTCCATAAAATAGTTTCCTCTGGGACTCTTCTCTGGATTCCTTATCCTGTTCTTACTTGTGAAGTCTCTGAAGAAGAAATATGTGTTGTACCAAGAGAAAAACTTTCTCACATGTACCGAAGGCAGAGTCACCTACAGTCACTCCTATTTCTCAGTGTCTATAAGTTACCAGTACTTCTGAAGTCAATCAGCTTTATCTATAATAGATGCGGCACTTAAATCAACATGACACATTTCAGTTTTAATACTGGATTCCGCATCACATCCAGTGCTTCTTGCTGGAGCTGGATCAATCAGCCCCAGGTGACGGACTGGAGTGGGTCAGGTGCACAGGTCATGAAGGAGCAGAAATTCCAACCCACTCCTCTAGGGTCCAGTCACCACCTCCAGATCTGTGCCCAAAAAACAGATCTTCCTGCAGCTGAACAATGTGAGCAACAAGCACACAACCATGTGTTTTCAAGCAAAAGACACAGTGGGGGGACACCCGTGTGAACCCAGACACACACCTTCCTGTGGGGGTTTACAGGACAGCAGGGGGTGCTGAAACAGAAGCTGAAACTCAGGAACCAGCAGGGAAACCCATAGGGCACTTGGCACCACGTGGGAGCTCAGGACCGTTGTGGGGCTCAGTGCTCAGGCAGGCTCAAGGCTCAGCATCAGGGCAGGTGCAGCAGGCAGGGAAAGGCACTGGAGATGGGTTTCTGTGGCTTCTTCTCATTCCACCACTAGCCACCCTCCACTAAATCAACTCTAACGTGTTTGAGTGTTTACATGTCTGGAAAATAATATTTATATTATAAATACATAGCCATATGCGAGTGCATCAAGTTACCTTCTTCAACTTACATGGACCCTGTTCATTAGGAATAAGTTCCTGTATTTGAAGATTTCATAAATTAAAGATGATGTAGAATCACTTTCTTTTTCAATCTCCTTTCCTCATTCTTTCTTTCTTTCTTTCTCTCACATACACTGATAAATACAGAGGATGCTATAACTTTAATTACATGATGTATTTTAAAGAAAATTGATTCACTTGCAGCTTGACCAGTTTAGCTGTTGTTCACGTTGTTGTAAGATTAAGAACATGTTTCTCAGCTGTGTAGCCCTCTAAGCTGAGCAGCAGTTTGTATGAAATACACAGAAACTGAAAATAATAAAAATTTTAATCAGCAGTTTTATCAGTAAACAAATTTTGGGAAAGTCATATATTGGCATAGTATCCACTACTGCAATCAATTAATGTTGAATACAATCAACAGCATGGTTAAATTCACAAGTACTTAGGACACCCGTGTGAACCCAGACACACACCTTCCTGTGAGTGTTCACAGGACAGCAGGGGGTGCTGAAACAGAAGCTGAAACTCAGGAACCAGCAGGGAAACCCAGAGGGCACTTGGCACCACGTGGGGGCTCAGGACCGTTGTGGGGCTCAGTGGTCAGGCAGGCTCAAGGCTCAGCATCAGGGCAGGTGCAGCAGGCAGGGAAAGGCACTGGAGATGGGGTTCCGTGGCGTCTTCTCATTCCACCACTAGCCACCCTCCACTACATCAACTCTAATGTGTATTAATGTTTATGTATAATGTGTATGAAAGTACATATATATAATTCAATTTTATAAACTGTGCAAATTGAATATTTATTGCAAATTATATCACAAAGATCCCAAACTGACTTCTCCATGGTAAAAGGATGGAAGGTGTAGGCAGGGAAATTGCAGGAGAAAAAGAGAAAATTGTGGGGTAACTGATTTGTTTTCTATGTGAATGGTGATGATTATGTAAATATTTGTTTGAAGATTGTTATTTGTCAATATGACCTCATTAAAACTACTACAAATAAAAATGTATGATTTGGTAGAAAATGATTAAAAGAGATAAAAATAATACAAAGAAGTCATAGACTTCTGAATACATATATGAATTAATACTCAGTTTTTCGCCAGGCGCGGTGGCTCAAGCCTGTAATCCCAGCACTTTGGGAGGCCGAGGCGGGTGGATCACAAGGTCAAGAGATCAAGACCATCCTGGTCAACAAGGTGAAACCCCGTCTCTAGTAAAAATACAACAACAAAAAAAATTAGCTGGGCATGGTGGCGTGTGCCTGTAATCCCAGCTACTCAGGAGTCTGAGACAGGAGAATTGCCTGAACCCAGGAGGTGGAGGTTGCGGTGAGCCGAGATCGTGCCATTGCACTCCAGCCTGGGTAATAAGAGCGAAACTCCGTCTCAAAAAAAAAAAAAAACTCAGTTTTTCTGTATTATTAAGGAAAACACTAAGATATAGCCAAATAATGTCATGATATTATTATAAGAAAAGAGTTTCATAAACCTCACTGGAAATTTCTTGCTCCGTCCTAGAGTTAATCTAGGGAGCAGTCAGATCCAGTCCTGAGGAACACAGGCCAGACGCTGAGACTGGCTCTTACCGGATGTGAGCTCTTAGACATGTGACATGGCCCCTCCACACTTGGGGGTTGACATTCACATGCGTAAATGTAGGAAAATTTGACTCCCACAGAACATACTTCTTGTGCATCTAAAAGTAGAAATGCTAATGAGAATTAATTATTTATGAAGAATAATCACTCACATCCTCTCTGGGATACAGCTCCTCTGGGCATCCCTTCGAGAACTCGCTATATAGCAGGAGACATGCAAATAGGGCCCTCCCTCTGCTGATGAAAATCAGCCCAGCTCTGACCCTGCAGATCTGGCAGAGGAGTCCAGGCCCCGGATTCCCAGGTGTTTCTATTCAGTGATCAGCACTGAACACAGAGGACTCACCATGGAGTTTGGGCTGAGCTGGGTTTTCCTTGTTGCTATTTTAAAAGGTAATTCATGGAGAACTAGAGATACTGAGTGTGTGTGGACATAAGCGAGGGGAACAGTGCATCTGTGTGGCAGTTTCTGACCAGGGTGTCTCTGTGTTCGCAGGTGTCCAGTGTGAGGTGCAGCTGGTGGAGTCTGGGGGAGGCTTGGCAAAGCCTGGGGGGTCCCTGAGACTCTCCTGTGCGGCCTCTGGATTCACCTTCAGTGACTACTACATGAGCTGGGTCCGCCAGGCTCCGGGGAAGGGGCTGGAGTGGGTCTCATACATTAGATATGATGGTGGTAGCACAAGCTACGCCGAGTCTGTGAAAGACCGATTCACCATCTCCAGAGATGATTCAGAGAACTCGCTGTATCTGCAAATGAGCAGCCTGAAACCCGAGGACACGGCCGTGTATTACTGTACTAGAGACACAGTGAGGGGAGGCCCGTGTGGGCCCGGACACAAACCTCCTGCAGGGGCGCGCGGGGCCGCCAGGGGGCGCTCGGGACCCACCGAGGACGGGGCAGGCCCCAGGAGCAGGTGCAGGGGGAGGGTTCTCTTTCTCAGACGCAAGAAGCGGATTTCTTTTTGCCGGTTTCTGGAGTCCTATAAGTTTATGGTATTTTATTATTTTTAGTAATAATATATTTATAATATAAATATATAATATTTCATTGATATTTGTGTTTTTGTAATTTTTCAATTTATATGTAGGGGTATTTTTAAAGATATATACCTTCAAGAAATAATTCTTCCGAGTTATTTGCCCTTATTCTTCTAGACCTTTATTAACATCTGTCTATATCAGCAACTACATAGTTATAGGGACATTAATTTACATCTGTAGACATATATGCAAATACACAAACCTATGCATACATGTGTAGTAATTTATATTTATCAGTATAATAGAACAATTCTAAAATATGCCCTAAAGAATTAACCTTAATGATAAAATTAATATAAATTATTAGTTATCTATAATTGATTTCAATGATTCTCTATGGTTTACATAAATTTATGTCTATTTATAAGCTTAAACATAATGTATTGGTCATTTAAAAATAGTCAAGAACAAATTTCAAATGTTCTAGTCACAACAATGATAAAGATTTGTAAATTTGAGGTATGAATACACCTCAAAAATAGCAAAAGTAGTCACTACCCGAAAAGGTCTATAATGTTACATTGCATTTATGTGAAGTTCAAAACAGAAAAACATGGATTTATAGTGCCAGAAATCAAAACACTTCCCCACACAGGAGTTGACCACAGGCACAGAGAGGTAATATATGTGTAGATTATCTTGATTCAGATATTCCATATTGTATTCACAAATTATATTCACATAGCTTTGTTCCCCATAAATATATACAACCAAAATTTCCCAATTTTTAATGAAACTTTAATTATATTTTTAAATCTATCTTGGGTCATGAATTTTTTCCACCCATTCAGATCTGATTGGATTGTCCCTAGTAACTCACCCATGCTCTTGTCTCTTCAATGGGCAGAATCAGAAAAATCATGTGTACCCACAGGACCTGGAGCCTCTCTCTCCTTGGGTTAGGCCACCTTCTCAAAATTACAGGAATCTTCAGTTTTCTCAACATTATGCTGCACCAGATAAGCATACAAACACTTCATTTTATTATGTTTTGCTTTAATTTTTCAAAACAATGTAAACTTGGTAATTTCAACAATAAACATGTTACAACCTACTATACATGAGATTCTTCCTATGGTTCAAGATTTCTTCTCAGGACTTTATTTGTATTACATGTTTTCAATTTCTTTCTGATATGCAATGTTGATGTCTCTTTATTACATATTATACTTTTATCTCTTAAAATTAATTTTCCAAAGACCCACTTAAAAGCAGAGTATTGATCATTAAAAAATCGGGAAACAACAGATGCTGGAGAGGATGTGGAGAAATAGGAACACTTCTACACTGTTGGTGGGAATGTAAATTAATTCAACCATTGTGGAAGACAGTGTGGCGATTCCTCAAGGACCTAAAAATAGAAATCCCATTTGACCCAGCAATCCCATTACTGGGTATATATCCAAAGGATTATAAATCATTCTACTACAAGGACACGTGCACACGAATGTTCATTGCAGCACTGTTTACAATAGCAAAGACCTGGAACCAACCCAAATGCCCAACGATGATAGACTGGATAGGGAAAATGTGGTACATATACACCATGGAATATTATGCAGCCATCAAAAACGATGAGTTCACGTCCTTTATAGGGACATGGATGAACCTGGAAACCATCATTCTCAGCAAACTGACACAAGAGCAGAAAATCAAACACCGTATATTCTCGCTCATAGGCGGGTGTTGAACAATGAGAACACATGGACACAGGGAGGGGAGCACTACACACTAGGGTCTGTTGGGGGGAATGGGGGAGGGGCGGGGGGGTGGGGAGGTGGGAAGAGATAGCATGGGGAGAAATGACAGATACAGGTGAGGGGATGGAAGGCAGCAAAGCACACTGCCATGTGTGTACCTATGCAACAATCTTGCATGTTCATCACATGTACCCCAAAACCTAAAATGCAATAAAAAAAAAAAATCAGAGTATTATTAGAACTTTGAGGTGTAATCGTTGGACCAACATCGAGGATAAATTCCACTGAGTTTACATGTTTTCAAATATTCTTTTCTCTCTAAAAGTTGTTCTCATTTGTAATATAACACAAAATAGTAATTTATACTTATGACACAGGCTAAAATCTTGTATAAATAATTTAAAGACATTTGATTGGAAAAAATAATACGTGTTCATCATATGTCTTGACTACTTTTTTTTCTCTATGATGTTACCCTTATCTTTTTGGTTTCTGGAATTTAATTTTAGTAGGTATACTAGAATGTAGTTTATTAATTAATGTTCATATTAATGTTCATATTTTGGATAAGATTTTAATGTTATTTTTATTATTTGCTGAATTTTAAATTATTTTATACTTTTTTATTTCATGTTTTACAAGATCAAATTTATATATAAGAAGAATGCATAGATCTGAAATGTACCACTAGAGAGTTTATGTGAATTGTGAATACCCTTGTCCCCAACATCTAAGGTAGCCTGAAGAGCAAGTCCATCCCCTAAACACTGGGGATGTTTTTGCAGTCAACACCTACATGGAGAAGTGTTTTGATTTCTGACACTATGGATCCATGTTTTTTAGTTTTGAACTTCATATAAATAGAATCTAACATTATAGACATTTTTGGTAAGACTCTACTTTTATTTTATATTGGTAAGAGAATACTTTTATTTTAATAAAATAAAGAGCGAGAAAGAGGAAGGACAGAGATTTTATATCTGAGTCACTACATTAAGTAAATATGTGACAATATGTTGATTTATTTTTTGTCAGTGAGCTTTAATTTTGTTTCCAGTTTGAGTATTATAAGCAAAGCTCTTACAAATACCTTAGTGTAAGTTTTTCTATCTATGTTGCCTTAATTTTATTAAGAAAATATGAAGTATGCATTTCTTGATCATAAAAGTAAGTTTAAATTTTTTGGTTGTATTGTGGTATAACAGAAAAAAATATAAATGTGTATGCTTTATGTTTTCATGATGCATTATTCCATTCTCACATTGCTATAAAGAAACGCCTGAGACTAATTTGAAAAAAAAAAAAAAAAAGATGTTTAATTGACTCAGTGTTCTGCAGGCTGTACAGGAAGTGTAGCAGCTTCTCCTACTGGGGAGACTCAGGATAGTTAGAATCCCAGCAGAGGACAAAGGGGAGCAGGTACACCACACGGCCAGAGCAGGAGCCACAGGAAGGGGTCAGGCATCTACACACTGTCAGACAACCAGAAAAAATTACTATCTAAATTTAAAGGTCTACGTCATCCAGAATACCCTGCATGATGGGCTGACACAAAGAAATCCAACCCCACAGAGGCTCCATAACAACCCTTACAGTTCTTTCAGGGAAGAAATAATCTCCAAGTGAAGTCAGTCAGTAAAGCTGCTCTGAGCTACAGTAAAAATTGGATTGGGCCCAGATTTGTCTGAGTTCAATGTGATTATTATACTCAGCTGCTGCTCCATTGTAGCCTGAGTATGAATAATTTAAATGAGCTTGGCTGTGTGGTTTGTTATATGAAATTCTGAACTAAATGAACATAAAGGTCGTGTCAGGACTACCATCAGGGTGAGAGATCCTGGGAGCCCCACCCACCATACTCTCATTGCTCTTTCCTCCAGCAAACTCCAGATTCTCAGGGCGGGAATACACATAGATCCCTGCACGGCTATATTACCAGGTCACCTAATCTCTGATAAATACACCCAGACCTCCTTCAGAAAGAGAAAACATGGGAAGGGCATTTTTAGATACTCATCTGTGTGGGGAAATTAATCCACCCCTATGACAAGCCCATACCAGCAGCCTTCCTCTATAATGAAAATTGGTAAAATTAGCCAATAGGGGTACATTTAAGAAAATGCTCCTGTGATGTTCCAGCCACAAAAGAGCAACAATCAGCTTCACACCTGGAGACTTCCTGTATAGGTCACAGCCCAGAGAAAGGAGACCACTACAGCATTATAATTCAGCTGTAAGAACACATAATGCTTCTGTGTCCCACACATTACATTCTCACCAGTTTAGTCAATATGGATTAAATATGAGAGTGTGGTGATACACAAACTCTATCTGAGGAGGAAAATAGAAGAAAAAAGGTTAAGGTAAATAGAGCAATCTAGAGCAGCTGACACCAGCAACTTCAGCCACAATAAAATGATTTCACCCTCATTGGCCTCAAATTTACTTTCCATGGGGCATCTGCAGAGATCCAAAGTGAGACCAGGTGAAGTCAATGTGCATGCTCTTCCCAAGTCTCCACTTGTATTCTGTTTTCTTTACTTCTGTTTGCAGAAAGTAGACACATACTCAGCCTTAGTGTCACTGTAGGGAGTGCTTTCTGTGAGATGGATACCAGACAAAGAGGGAAACCATGAGACCCATTAATGTAAAAATTTGCCACGATATGTGTGTGTGTGTGTGTGTGTGTGTGTGTGTGTGTGTGTGTGTGAATGTGTGCAGGTGCATGTGTGATTTGAATAGCAGATTTGGAGTGGGCTTCTAGCCACAGCACTTGCACCTGCAGGTATCCTCAGATGCAATAACAAACTGCAGGACCCTAAAGGAAATAGGAGTCTGCTCCAAACTCCAGAAGAGTTTTTGGATCCACCATTTGTCCAATGATTCAGTGCCTCTTGAGCTCCAGGAAAGGGCTCCCTGGTGATGCAGGAGATCTTTTCTTGGGGTCTCCCTGCAGAGTTTGCTGGTTTCCTAAGGCCATTTTAATATTCGAAAAGATGCTGTGAGAAGCATATCGCATCAATAAAGAAGAATTCCGAGCCAGGTCACAGCCAATTTATACTGGGCTAGAGACACTGGTGGGAATGTATTCTGATCAGACGGAAACCTCCCTGCAGGGCTGGGACTGGGCTGCAGGGGGCGCTCAGGACACACCCAGCACAGGCTGCTGGCTCAGAGCAGGTGCACAGGAGGCTGGGGAGAGGTTCCTCTCAGGGCCTGGGACTTCCTTTAAGGATATCTAAAATTAGTATATCACAAGAACTGGCGATATTTGTAAAAATATAGTATTTAATTGTCACCATTTATCAAACTGGACGTTATAATGAGAACCACTTTTGCAATAGGTATTTCAAACTCAGCTAGATCTCTTATGAGTAAGCAGTTGGAGGTCAGGGCAAGACTCTTTCTTAAAATAAGTGAAATTTTTGGAGAAACACATTCATTCCCAAAATAACACGTTAGCATATTAAGGTCTAGAAATGGTTCAAGTTGCCCCTGAGACATTCAAATGTGGGTTCAAAATGACATGTGTGTCCTGAGGAAGCCTGTTACCCAGTGAGGAAAGCTCTGTCAACACAGTTCAGGGATGTGTCGGGGATGCATGATTTTTAACAGGATTACAGCTTGAACCCTCAGCTTCCACAATTGTGTCGTCCATGTGTCATCTATTTGCTCTTTCTCATACTGGGTCAGGAATTGGGCTATTAAATAGCATCCTTCATGCATATGCAAATAACTGAGGTGAATTTAGACATCTCTGTGCCTAAGAGTATCACCCAACAACCACACCCCTACTTGAGAGAAGCCCCTAGAGCACAACTCCTCACCATGGACTGGACCTGGAGGATCCTCTTCTTGGTGGCAGCAGCAACAGGTAAGGGGCTCCCCAGTCCCTGGGAAGAGGGAAAATCCAGGCCAGTCGAGTGAGACTTCATCCACGCCTGTCTCCTCTCCACAGGTGCCCACTCCCAGGGGCAGCTGGTGCAGTCTGGGGCTGAGGTGAAGAAGCCTGGGGCCTCAGTGAAGGTCTCCTGCAAGGCTTCTGGATACTCCTTCACCAGCTATGTTATCAGCTGGGTGCGACAGAACCCTAGGCAAGGGCTTGAGTGGATGGGAGGGATCTACCCTGGTAATGGTGGCACAAACTATGCACAGAAATTCCAGGGCAGAGTCACCATGACCACGGACAAGTCCACGAGCACAGCCTACATGGAGCTGAGCAGCCTGAGATCTGAGGACATGGCCATGTATTACTGTGCGGGAGACACAGTGTGAAAACCACATCCTGAGAGTGTCAGAAACCCCAGGCAGAAGGTAGCGGCATTGAATTTGAGATTACAGGGCTTATGATCTTCAAAGTTGTTTAGAAAATGGGCTAAGCAATTGAGGAACATGAGTAATAGAAACATGTACACACACCATATAGGAAATATTTCTTTCAAAGGTGGCTGTATATGCAAGATTCTCAGAATGGTAAAGGCAACAATCAATCAAGCTGATGGAAAGTTTCCCATGGAGACTTTGTGCAAACATAAGTTTTAAAATCAGATAGATAAATAATTTGGAGCATAATTGCTCATAATATGACTAAATATCATTCCTAAAAAGTGGCCACAATGTATTCCAAAATGTCGCTGCCACCCTTTTTACATAAAACGTATCAAAAAGTAGTTTTAAGACCACAGCAAAATTGAACAGAAGGAGTAGAGAGCTCCCCTATGCCCCTCTTCATATATGCACAGCCGGCCCCACTGTCACCGTCCTTCTCCGGAGTCAGAAATGTTAGAACGAATAAACTTACATAGACGGATCGTTTCTTTCCTCTTCTAGCTGTTCCTTGGCATACCAAGCTTAAATTATCTTGAAGTACCACAGGTTCTTGAAGTGGGTTCCTGGGAATTATGCCAGTTATAGGAAAAGTGGGTGGGGCTATTCCTATTAGGAGTCCTCCTTAGAGGATTCTTAAAATGTGTATTTCCTGTAGGTTCTGTAATTTCTGTCCCTTCTCAGAGGTTAAGGTCCCAAAGTGCTTAGAAGTAGATCCATGCCTACGGAAAGCCAGCAAGTTCTGGGGAATCCTATCAGGAATGTCCTTCAATGAGAAGTGGAGACTTTGGCCATGAGGCACATCATGTATGATTCTCTATAGCTCCATTAGATTCACTGTAAGCTTTTGTGGGTGTTTCCATGTGAGTCCGTTTTACAGAAAATAAAAACACGTGCACCCATTTCAGGCAGAAACAATAGTTTCCATTTAGAAAATGGGAGGTAAATAGAAGTAACCCTCTCATGGGTGAGCACTGATCTCCCTTGTAGGATGCACACTAGCCAGAGAAATGAGCCCGATTGGTCTTGGAGTGTGAGAGCCCCACTGGGGTCACTGGCTATGGAACTTAAGTATTTTTTTAAATAGGGAAGACACTGCCAAATGCCAAGTTTAAGGAAGGTTAACTCAGAAGTGTTGATCAAGTGACTGAAGGGCAGTAGTGGTTGAGGTGGTGTGGCAGCTTCAGGGCTGCAAAGGAGGAGGGCTCCCTTCCCCATGCAGGCTTTTCCTCCAGGACCTGCACCAGGAGCTCACAAATGATTAGGGAGAATTCTGAAGACATTCTGTGGTGCTGCCTAGCGAGGAAGTACACGCTATGGGGGAAAAAAACCTAGATAAAGTATTATGTTTGTTAATATAAACTATTTCTGAAACCTTGTGGAGGTCGTGACATAAGCCATCATTAGCTGTGATCAAACATTTAAACCTCCTTCCATGGGGAGTTCAGTTATGCTGCATCTGTTCCTCTATGGACAATATCCCCCAACCCCTCACCATCACAGGTCGAGTCCCTTAGTGGGCCATCTGCAAGCTGAGGAGCAAGGAAGCCAGTCCAAGTCTCACAAGCTCAAAAGTAGGGACGCTGAAAGTACAGCCTTCAGTCTGTGGCCAAAGGCTGGAGAGCCCCTGGCAAACCGCTGGTGTGAGTCCAAGAGTGAAAAGCTGAAGAACTTGGATTCTGATGTATGACGGCAGGAAGCATCCTGCATGGTAGAAAAATGAAAGCTGGAAGACTCAGCAAGTCTAGTCCTTCCATCCTGTCAGGGCATGGTTGGAGTGATTGAATTGACAATCCCCCTGGAGAACCATCTTAAAAACCACTTGTCTCATTTCCCAGGAAGGTATAGCCCATCCATTTCCTCTTCCTAGCAAAATGGAAAAGGATGAATACTGAATACACCAAGTGTCTCCTGGTTTTGCAAGTTTATGATTTCATCCCTTTTGAATTCCTTATATGAGCAGACCATGTACAAACTTTCTTTTTTACTGAAATGACCAGCATTTTGGACATTAAATATAATTGACCTTCTTCATATACAATTCAGCACAAGTATCTCAGAGTTTGTGTCCTCAGGTATCACTCTAAACATACATAACTTGTTTATTTATTTGTTTTATTTTCTGGCATCTCTACTTGGCATCTTCCTTATACCCATTTTTTTGTTACTTCTACTGATGATTGATTGTTAAATTTCAAATTTATAGGTACTTAGATTTTTTACATATTCAGGAAATAGGATAAATTGAATGTAAAGTAAAATAAAAATAAATAAAATAATAGTTAAAATAGAGGAGCCAT